CCTTCTAACTTCCAGACCAACGTGAATTCGGAGTGTTGTCTTTTAATTGCGATTTTCTCCCCAATCTATAGTTCAGGAACGCTCCAAAAGCCACATTATCAGTTGAGAAGTCGCCATGTTTTTTTTCTTTTTGCTACCTTTATGCAATATTTCTCCATAAAGAACATAAGCACTTGATTTCATAATATTGACCAATGCTCCACGAGAAAACGAAGAAAGATGAATAATCTATGGATTAATATTCTGTGTGCATCTGAGATTTATTACTTGGAATTTTGGTGTTATTTGGTTAGCAGATATGAGGAAAACATGAAAAAAAATCCGTGCTTCCAAAGCTCGGTGTTAAAAAAAAAAAGAAATAAAAAGAGACAGGGAGATCGAGCGAGCGAGCGAGAGAAAGTTAGATTTGGTTGTGAAATTTCAAATTTAATTCAGAGTTGTTTCTCCCTAAGAGTTTCCCCCTCTTCAAAAATCTCCCCTACGCACTTAATATTTGCTCCCCTTCTTCCACACCATCTTATATTTAGAATTTCAAGACTTACTTTCAATGCATACTTAGTTTCAACTGGGGAATCAACACAAGCAAAAGCAATTTTTCCCTTTCTTGACATCTAGCTTCCTATTGGCTCACACCGGGTCAGCTGACTTTGTCATTTTGTCTGTCCTGGAGTAGAGCCTTCCCTATAACAATCTAGTTCAGACTACAAACTGGAGACAGAAATAAATATTAAAGAAATCATACACCTAGGTATAGAGGACGATATGAATTCCTATTTTACAAACCCATCGCTATCTTGCCATCTAACCAGTGGCCAAGATGTGCTACCCAATGTAGCCCTCAATTCAACGGCTTATGACCCCGTCAGGCATTTTTCTACCTATGGAGCCGCCGTTGCTCAAAACCGGATTTACTCTTCTCCTTTTTATTCACCGCAAGATAATGTTGTATTTAGCTCCAGCCGAGGACCCTATGACTATGGATCTAATGCCTTTTACCAAGAAAAAGACATGCTTTCCAGCTGCAGGCAAAATTCTATGGGACACAATACACAGACTTCAATTGCACAGGATTTTACCAGTGACCAAAGCAGGAATACTTCGCAAGAGCAAAAAACTAGCATTCAAATATACCCCTGGATGCAGCGTATGAACTCCCACAGTGGTAAGTTTTACAGCTTGGAGATATAAATTAAATAAACTGAACCATCTTTACGACCATCTCTCTAGCAGAGCGGGGCTCAGCTCCTATTTTATGGCCCCATAAAAACAATAATATAGCTCCTTCACAGTTGCCGCTACAGGCCTTTTATTTGTTAAGTTGTTGCAAGCAAATATGGCTTGTTATGCTCTTTCTAATTAAAAGACATCGAGAGTGTAAAATATCCATAATAAAGTGCAGCCAGGTCTGCTTTTGAGTTAAGTACAAAATATTCCGTAGGTGAAATAAGTTTGAATGATGGGCGAGGAAGTACATTTTTATTTGGGGCCCCCCCCCCTTCCTGTGACAGATTTCTCCGTGGGAATTTATGAAATGGTGTGGTTCACACAAAAGAGGAAGAGTGTATTTCTAGGGGGGGGGGGGGGAGGTAATACTTTTAAGGGGCCCAAACCCAGCTTTTCTTTTCTGCCTCCTTTTTTTAGTTTGGGGAGGGGGAGAAATAATGAAAGCCAAACTCCCTCCAAAGCTGGGCAAAGCGTGTCCAGATTGGAAATCATTTGTGCTGCAGGGCTTGAGTGTGTTAACTTGAATCTGGGTAAACAGGACTGGAGGGAGGGGGTGGCGATGGGGGTGCAGGATTGAGGGGAGGGGATGGAAGAGGAGTCGAGATTGTGACTGTAGCGCTCAAAATAGGGGTTTTACTAAGGTCTTGGGCGCCTTCCTAATTCGTTTTAGTTTGCTTTGTTTCTGAATCCTTAGGAGTCGGCTATGGAGCGGATCGCAGGAGGGGGAGACAGATCTATTCCCGCTACCAGACCCTGGAGTTGGAGAAGGAATTCCACTTCAATCGCTACTTGACCAGGCGGAGGCGGATCGAGATCGCCAATGCACTGTGCCTCACGGAACGCCAGATCAAAATCTGGTTCCAGAACAGGAGGATGAAATGGAAAAAAGAAAGTAACTTGAGCTCCACTTTGTCGGGGGGAGCAGGCGCAGGCTCGGGGCCAGCTGCAGATAGCTTGGGGGCAAAGGAAGAGAAGCGAGAAGAGACAGAGGAGGAGAAGCAAAAGGAGAGAAAATTGAATGGTTCAGCACCCTGATCTCCCCCCCCCCCGCTATATTTATCACTGGCACAACTTATGTGTTTGGCTACATTAAAAGAAAAGAAGTGCCAAACGTGGACATGAAAGACAGACCTTCCCCCACTCCCCAATATTCAGTCCATAACTTGCTCCACAATCCTTTTTAGGTTTTTTGACTATAATCCCTCCCTTACCCCCACTGCCTGAGCACTGTGTGGAAAGCCACACCGTTTTCTTCCTTAAAAAAAAAAGAGAGAGAGAGAGAAAGAAATTGGCTCGGAGGAGGCAAATTACTCTGTAGCGGTGCCTCGTTGTGTTGGGATGACCCTTGTAAAATGGACTCGATGCAGTTGTTTTATTAGGATGACCCTCCAGAAAACGAGTTTCCTGCCATGTTGAAAAAGAGAGAGAGAGAGAGAGAGAGAGAGAGAGAGAGATTCCCCTGAAATCGCTTTCCACGTAAATATAGCATTTTTCAAAAGTAACCCTCCTTGTATGTACACAATACCTGGCTCATCATTGCAAACTGTGACAGTTTCTGTGTGAATATTTTTAGCTGTATTTGTGGTCTCTTGTATTTATATTTATGTTTAGCACTGTAATGTTCAACAGTATAAGGTGAATGGAGGTCTATAGCGGTAGAAAAAAAAGAGAAATCTTGTGTTACACCCTCCCATGTATAAAGATCATGTCCAAAGGACTGTTGTTGAGTATTTAATAAAAACTGAATATTATTTTTAAAGTTTACAGACTGGCCTCTGAGATTCCATTGGAACCCTTCCTGTTGAGAAGCGCCTCTTGGAAAGTTTACTTATTCTCTGTGTGGTTCCGCACCCCTCTTAAAATCAAATTCCTTTATCCTCCTGCCCCACGCGCACACCTCTCCTCCAGACTTCTCATTCAAAAGTAGCCCAAAGGAGGAAGCAGACATTTTTGGGGGAAGAGGGGAGACTTTGTCTCCTTTATTTAGTCTCGTTACTGTATCGTCGAAGGGCATCACCAATCTGTGTCATACCTCTCGCTCCCTGATTAATTATTATTATTATCATTACTATTTTTTCAAAAAGGGCCGCCCAAAGTTCAAATCGTATTTTTATTGGAAACCACATTAGTCAAATCGCAGACTCAAGAATGTGGGTGGCGGTTTTGAACTAAATAAATACATAAATAAATAAACAAACAAACAAATAAGCAAAATACACAATGAAGGCATTTGAAATTGTTAATAAACACTCAGCTGTAAGCAATCACACCCAGTTTTCCAGAGTTACTTAGACCCTTTCTAGAAAGCAGCTGGCACTCAAGGGAGATAACTGAGAAGATCCACCTATGAAATAAATAACGCTATTACCCCACCGTGTATTGTAGATTTAGATCAAATGGTACGAAGGCTTGAACGCAACTTACATTTTATGTCCTCTGGGGCATAACCGGTACAAAGACATTTTATCAGGGGTACGAATATTCTGTGTCCAACACCTACTGGGAGAGAAATCTTTCCTGCAAGCCCCACCATTCTCTTGAAGTTTGTATTCAACAGCCAGGATGCGGTTGAATTCAGTCGCCCTAAAAAGATCAGGGAGGTTTTATGATCCCAGAATTGGCTTATTTTCCACCCCCGCTTGTGTACGTTACTTCAAACAGCATCAGAAAGGAGAGTAAAACAGGCATTTACAAGGCAGTAGGCTTGGTGCACAGGGCTGGAAACAGGAAGGCTAGAATAAAATCAACTGCTCTTCCCCTAGTCTGAGCTTTAATAGAAAAATTAGAACAACGTGTGTGACTGTCCTAGAATGTAAAGCAACCCGCCCTGACATAGAAGTTAATGGTTGCTATTGTGTGTATATCATAACACGCACATCTCCTAGTGTAAAGGCGGGCCAGCCAAAATGGTTCATATTGTCATGCAAGCATTTAAATTAAACACTCTTGAAAGGGGACTTAATTTCTCAGGAAGCATCAGGGACAGGGTCCCCCTACTTCTTCCAGCAGGAAACTGCAGTGGGAAAAGGAACCGAAACTGTAAACTTTCGCCCATGACTGTAGCTCCATGACAGAAGCAACCCTGCTTAATACTTAAGAGCGTCCCCCTCCTCCCGCCCCCACATACCGAAGATAAACCATCGTACGTGTTTATTTCATTCACCACACTTGATGGGATTCACTGTCCCTGAATACTGGTATTAACCCATCGCATAACACACACACACACAGCGTGCATGTGTGTTCTCACATCTGCCGCGTAGCGCTGCCTATCACGGGAGATTCAGATGATAAATCACAGCTACATCCAAATGCACAATGTATACATATATGCAATATACACAGTATATGTGTGCAGTAGGTTAGATATGGAACAGAGGGTGTGTAATATCGATTGCACACAACGCTAGTAGATATGTGTACAGATGTATGCACACCCGGTACATTGTTCTAACAAAACAAAACCTAATGGCCGAGAGGTCAGACTAGCGCGCTTTTGCGAATTAGGAAAAAATCTAAAGTCTTTTAGTCTACAGTAAATACACAAACCGATCCATTGTAATGCAAATGTGCACACAGGCACACACACACACATGAACCGTCTTCCCACCCCAACACACCTAGGGACGTGCGTTTCTCTCACGGCTGTCGGTGTAGCCACCGAATATAGGCGCGCAAAGAAAATAAAGCGAGAGCATCTTATTGCATGGATCTACGGAAATTTCGCATCCTTGGCTTTCTCCCACTCCAAAGAAGGGGGAGGGGGCCCCCGGGAGGATAAGGCCCTGTCCGCTTCTGAAACCCGATCTTCCATGTCTGAAAAGGCTGCAGAGTTGGGCACGTTTGGCCACCTCACGCCCAATGTACACCCCGAGGGGGCATAGGGAGCCGTATTTTATGAAGCGTCGTACCACCAGCTTGGCACCAGGTGACGCTGCAGACGCGTGGTCCTGGTTTTTTAACTTGGGGCCTTTTCGTCGGCTGTGCCAACATCTCAGATGCGTTTCACAGGCTCCCATCAATAACCTCCTGGGGTCATCAAGCCAAATTTATGACTGGCCCACGCCGTCACGTGATTCTATTTAAACATGCCATATTTGGGCAGCGCGCAGAGAATAAAGAAAGAAGAATCTCCACCTATAAATTCTGCACTTTAGAGAACAAAAAACCCCCCTGAACTTCAAAGGGCCACAAATCAAGTCTAATCAAAAGGGTGCAAAAAAAAAAATCCGACATGAGTTCCTACGTAGCCAATTCGTTCTATAAGCAAAGTCAAAATGCTTCTGCCTATACCATGCAAAGTTATGGGAATTATGGATCTGTGTCTGAAGTTCAGTCATCCAGGTATTGCTACAGTGGGTTGGATCTAAGCATGACATTCCCATCCTCTGGTTCTTCAAACTCTCTGGGCGGTTTGGACATGTCTTCAAGCCCTAGAAATAACCCCGAGCGACCTGCCTGCACAGTGATGGGTTCTTCGGGCCACTCTGTAGCCAGAGACGACCAGACTCCTCTGACCCCTGGAATTTACAGTCAGAAGGCTGGTAACACGGCGTTGGAGGATAGATCTAAAAGCACTAGCGAGATCAAAGCGGAGCCGGTGCAAACTGCACAACACGGAGGGCAACAACCGCAGCAGCCGCCACCACCACAAATATACCCGTGGATGACCAAACTACACATGAGCCATGGTAAACTTTCACTTCTTGATTTTGTTTCACAGGATTTGCCTTGGTTTTATAGGCCATACGGGGCAAATAATAAAAAAAACCTAAGGTCGTAAATTTTACGACTAAGGCGTCAATTGCTCGTAAAACTGTCCACTAAAAGGCTTAGAGGCTATATACGCCCAAATTTATGACAGCATAATTGGATCATAGAAACAAAACGTGTATAAAAGGCAATATTCCAATTTTTGGAGGTTTTTTTAAAAAAATGCACACGTTCTTCTAGGCTTCTCTTTCTAAAAATATGAAACAAAACCGTATAAAAAAGTCATCCCTGCTCCATCGACTTGGGTTTGGTTTTTGGTTTTTTGTTTTTACTCCTGCCACCTTCTTCAGGATAAAAATCCAGCCCATGCGAATATATTTCCCTCTTTTGCCCACTTTCTGAGTGTTTCACAGGAAACAGGTTCTCTTCTGACCAGTTTGCACACGTTTGATCTTTAAAGAAAACCCAAACAAACTTTAATCGGAAGGTGTTTATAAAAGGAGAAAGTTACACCTTGACCCTTGTCAAACCCTGGTGCTCCGGGTAGACACAGATGCCCTGGGTATAAACCAAGAGGACTTGTTTATATTCTGTTGTGTGGTTATTTATTTTTGAAACCTGATTGTTTTTGGCTTTTCATGTGGTGTCTTTTATTTTCCAGAAACAGATGGCAAACGTTCCAGAACTAGTTATACTCGCTACCAAACTCTGGAACTAGAAAAAGAATTTCATTTCAACAGATACCTCACAAGGCGGAGGCGCATTGAAATTGCCAACAACCTGTGCTTAAACGAGAGGCAAATAAAAATCTGGTTTCAGAACCGGAGAATGAAATGGAAGAAAGATTCCAAACTGAAAAGCAAAGATTCCCTCTAAGCAGAGGGGCGACTCTCTAAGAAGAGGGTCAATAAATATTTACACTAGTTTTGTTGTAATTTACCTTCAGAAAACTTTTCTTGTTGGGGTGGGGAGGGAGTCGTATTGCTGAATAGACTGTGTTACATACCCTCACAAATCCATCAGACAAAGGAGTTATCTTATTAGTATGCAAAAACCTACCCTTAGCTTCCTGCAGAATTTAGTATATAGCTCTTTAGATTGTTACTCAGTGTTCTAACCTGTACGTTCTTTTCTTCGGGGAAGGGGGGGGGGTGTTATAATAATAATGTTGCTCAAAAACAATCCGCAGAGATAATGGGTTATATTTGATCAGTACTGTAAGAATAACAGCAATACTAACCTAAGGGAGAAAAAACGCCAAGTAAGTTGTCTAAACTCACAGAATCTTCCTTAACTGCCTGCTTAATAGAAGGAAAAAATGTTGCTATATTTTATTGTATGCAAATTAACCTCTGTATTCTGGAGCTCTGCATAAAAGACTTGACTTCTCTCCACTTTCACTTTCTGAAGTCTAAAAGAAAAATGTTTACCTTGTACGTGGGTTGGATATGGCCACAGCTTTTTTTTTTTCTCCTAGATGCACTTCTCCTCAAACACGGTAAAAACTCTTGAGACTAGTGGGTTTTTGTTTGTTGTTTTGTTTTGTTCGGGCTTAGCTTTTATTATTTTATTATTTGCATATGAAAAGAAAGGACTGGACTATGAAATAATCGACCTGAGCAATCATCCGAAATATCTGTGCAGAAGAGTAAAGCATGGAGGGGGGCAGGGGTGGGGAGGTGGGGAATGAAATGTCTGGACCTAATATTATTGTGTATTTATTTGTTGCGTAATTAACGTAGATTTGCTAAATGCTAAAAAGTATATAAAAACAAAACAATTTATACATCTTTGTTTACATGTAGTCCATTTTAATAACTTTTTCCCCCCAATAATGTACTCCGTATATTTATTTGGTGGCAGTTTCATATGTGAAAGACCATGGAACTTATATTTTGTCATATTAAATAAACACTAAAGAATGCAAAACTTCGGCGTGCCCGCTGAGATGAACAGCCCGCTTTTGTCCTTTCCTGGAGTGGCATTCAATTCCTGGTTCTAGTTTGCTTAAAAATCTCTCTCTGAGATAACAGGGGGGCAGAATAAAGGCTCTGGACATTTCTAGACCTGGAAGCTACGAGGGGTGCGTACTTTCCAATGGTGGGGTCGTCTGGCTGTAGCGTGCGCTGCATAGGAAGCTCTGAATAAAGTGAAACCCGGCTGTTGACTCCCAACGTGCAGTTAACATGGCAGCCTTGGCTTCCGCTTCTAAACCAAGTGAACTGGCTTGGGGCTCGGTATTCATGTCCCCCAACTGACTGAGGGCCTCTTCTGCCAGGAAGACCGTTTCCAAAAACTGCCCCAAATGCCTAGTTCCGAGAAACCCCCCTGCCTACACAACCTACCCCGGAACGCTCTTTGGGCAGCTTGAGAAGCAACATAAGAACCCTGGGTTGGAATGGCTGTGGTGCAGGATCTGGGGGTCTGCACAGTCCTGTGAACGCACCTGGCCTTTCAGCGGCCCACAGGCCCACTTCCAGCCCCACTGAAGTCAGTGGCACCCCCCCCCCGCAGTTACTTACGGGAAGGCAGAATGAAGTCCATCTGCGAGCAGAATGAAAACCTTATAGAGGAAAACTTGATACTTTAAAATGTATTTACAGTCGCTATTTTCTATTCATATTTTATTATTATTGTTATTGTTATTATTATTATTTTATTATTATACGTGATTGGCCTAATTTAATACTCTTGAGTATTGTTTTGTGTATATGTGTGTGTATGTACATATATAAAGACAGACAGAGAGAGAGAGAGAGAGAGAGAAAGCAAAGTGTGTGTATACACATGAATAGGCAGGTATAGACAAATATACGACAGATATTTGTCTGTACCTGGGTGTACACACACACGATCCGTATAGACATCACACACTACTGAGGTCACCCTTGGTGTGTCTTGTGAACTATTTACAGCAGAAACAAATGCTCGAAGAAGCCAATAGCTCCATAAAACTTAACAGCATTTCCTTTACACATTTCAAACAATGGAACAATTTCCTGAATCTGGAAACAAAAGTTTCTTTTCGTGACAGTCTGGAAGTCTTTAAGGGTCCAATTACTACTGCGTGCTCCAGTGTGGAGTGTCTATATGGCTGTTCTTATTAACCCGAGAGTCCTGACCCTACCTCGTCGTATACTTTTTGTTTCTTTCTTTTCTTGTTTACTTATTATGAGGCAAGTTACAAGGATCAAGCGATGCTTTCAGAAAGGCGGGGACGTTTCATTTTATTGTCACTTAACAGTCAGATGAAAATCTCTTTCCTATTTCTGGCAGAACTGTCATTTCTCCGTCCATTACAGTGAAATACTGCTAAGCAAATCAAAACTTGGTTTGTAAATTTCATGCTGTCTGAATCAGTTTTTGCTTAACGCTCTGGCCCTCTTGACTATGTGGGCCTTGGGTAATTACAAATAGAATAATAGAGTTCTTTAACTAATCCTGGTAGGTTTTTATTTTCTACCCATGCTGTGTAAATCTATTGAGAAATTGCTCATGCACAGAAAATAATTTGGCGTATACTGGTGGCTGTTCACTAGCTAAATAGTTTTGTACCTGGTCTTATTCCTCTTTATTAAATCGTCAACATCTTTCCTTTTTCTTGCTCGGTAAGCTGTCAAGAAACAATTAGACTTGACAGTTAAGGGTTAACAAAATCAGACCAATTTTTGCTGTACTTGAGGGAGGAGAGAGGTTTTGGTAGCTTATTTCTGTTGTTGTTTCTTTTTAAAAAACCTAACACACACAATTCCAAACTTTTTCAACGTCATAGTGCGTAGCAGCAGTCTGGTTTATTTATGATTAATTAGGTTAAGCCTTGCTTTCCTGGGGTGGGGGGTAAGATTTATTTCAACCCCTCTTTTTTTTTTTAAAGAGTCATGTCCCAGGACTGATTCATTTTTGATAGTTTTTTTTTCTGCTTCCTCTCAATCCTTTCCCCAAGATCTCTGAAAAACAAGAAGGAAATAAAAAATGACTTACCTTTTCCGTGTCAACCCCAGTGTGAACTTAAAATGGCCCAGAAAAACCAAACAGACCAAAGTTCCATTAAAAAAAAAATCCCGCATGATTATTACTATTAATATCACCATAATTATTGAGCAAAGGCCTTTTAGTTTCACTGAGAACATGAGAACATTAGCAGAAATACGCATGGCTTCTATGTGAATTTAGTAGTTTAAAACTTTTGAAGGTTATTTATGTGGATGGCCCTAAGCAAAAGCCCTGAATGGCTCCCAGAGAGCACGTGATGTCATTAAACTAAGTTTTATGGTTTGGGGGAGCTGACAAACCCACAATATATTTACATCATATATAATCTAAACTGTCCAACCATCGCAGCTGCTAGAGCTGCTTAATGCTGGGACAGTGGGACAAGGCATTTAGTGTGGATTACGGCGTCTCAGACTGGTACATCTTACCAAATGGATCCCAAGCGTTCTAAGTAAGTTAATTTCCCTCCCCTCCCTCCCCCCTTCTGTCTCGTTTTCTGGGGGGGAAAAACCCCATTGCATCCAGTGAGTCTTATTAAAATAGAACGTGGGAATTCTGTGTATCCTATGATGGGGAGGGGGGCGGTGTTCTAAAGGCAGGACTTTGCTTTTTGTTTGTTTGTTTGTTTGTTTGCTGTATGAGAAACTAGTATGTCTGGCGTTTTAAATGACGGGGGAAGGGTTATCAAGCGAACAACAAGCAGGAACTTTATCTAGAAGGAATATCAGCCCCCTCCCTCCTTCCCCAGGGCTTGTGGAAATTAGATAAGGCCAGAAAGCTCTCGATATTACTGGGTAAAGAGAGCCATTCCGCCCCCCTGTCCAACCCCACCTTCCCTTCTCGACAATACAATACTGAAAGAAAGCGAAAGGTGGAAAGATTGGGCTTTAGATTCGCCCCACTTTTTTTTCTGCTCAGATCATTTCGGCTCGCGCTTGAGTTGTTGTTGTTGTTTGTTGCTGTTTTGAAGGAGCACAATATAGAGCTTGCCTCTTTTTTTTTTTTTAAAGCTTGCTGGGTGGGGATGAACATGCGCACTGCTGGGGGGGAGAGGTCGCGCAGGAGAGAAATCTGCAAGCGTGATTCCTGCGCTCCTTTGATGCTGTTGGCAGGTGTGTTATAGGCAGGCATGAACTCTGAGCGAGGCAGGGTTGGAGACAGGCCGAAGAATTTGTAAACTCCCTGTCGCAGATAAGATCTAAGGCAATAGACACTTGGCAGCTCTGTTTTATGCGCACTGCTGGGGGGGAGAGGTCGCGCAGGAGAGAAATCTGCAAGCGTGATTCCTGCGCTCCTTTGATGCTGTTGGCAGGTGTGTTATAGGCAGGCATGAACTCTGAGCGAGGCAGGGTTGGAGACAGGCCGAAGAATTTGTAAACTCCCTGTCGCAGATAAGATCTAAGGCAATAGACACTTGGCAGCTCTGTTTTCTTCGGAAGAATATGATCCGATCGCTCATCCCTGGTCCTCGCTTTTTGGCCCCCCCCCCCCCCCCCCCCCCCGCCGCTGCCCATTCCACAAGGAGGAGAGGTTTCTCTTCGTCGTCTTGCGTCCTTGGGTTTTCCGGGACAGGTTTCCAACTGGAACAATGCGGGAGACCCCAAACGGGGCAGGCCAGGAGTCCAAGCCCTGTTTACACGTTTCGAGATAATTGGCCACAATCCTAGGCAGGGACAGTTTGGGGGCAGGCAGGACCGGGGCTCATCTCTGAAAAGCTCACTCCAAACAGCGTGTCCTGTTCAAAGTCAGAGCTGTCATATTCAGTGAAAGGGGCCGGGGGAAGGGGGCGAGGGTCAGGGAAGGTAGCACTGACCGGTAATCGGTAAGAAATCCCAGTCGTAATTCTGCGTGTGTTGCTCCGATTGTACTTATGAGCGTGCCTGGGTTTGTTTACATGCCACATTCCCCCTCCTCCCCGGTTCATACAGAGCTCTGTGAACCTGAGTGTCAAGAGAAGTGTGTAATCCTATGGCACCGCGCTTGGGTGGATTGGGGTGCGCTCGACCCTGGTGTTAAACAGAGGACTTTTTTCCTAGTTCAAAGGAAAAGGACGGAGGAGTGTGTGTGTGTGGGGGGGGTCTATCTGTGAGGGAGACAGGTCTGGAGGTGTGAAGATATAAAATGTTTGGCTGTTCAGGGGCCAAGTACATCCCACTGAGAACAATGGAGAATCACACACACACACTCCCTGGATCTAATGACTGATACACAAACACACACGTGATCCAATATCACACACCCCGCCCCCTGGGTCTAATGACTGGGACATACACAGGATGTAATGGCTGATACACACACACACACACTTCTGAACAATGGTGGTGGGGGGAGGGAAATCCATTATTCTTAATAGGAGCTTCCTGGGAGCTGGCCTTTGACCCAAAGGGTCCAATTCTGCATGCTGTACACCCCACAAAAGAAGCCAGCGGAGGAGGAGGAGGGAAGGAAGGAGGAGAATGCTCATTAAACTTTAGGGTCTTTGTCTGCCAAACCTGCATGAAACGGGGATTCCCGGGGAAAAAAGGAGGATTTCCACCGAGCAAACAGCCTTCCTTTTCAGGAGGGGTTGGAAAATCAGGACTCTCCCTCCACTGGGAAGGTTGTAACCTCCCTCCCCGGGCAGAAAAGCAAGAACTGTGACCATAGGCCCTTGTTTGTATGCGGAGGCCAGATGCCTTCACGTGGGTGCTGCTGATGTTACTTAGGGTCTTCATACATGTTTAAAAGAAGCTGCCCAGTCCGTGCGGCTCCCATCATGGGTCTGGTCCCCTCCGTACAACCCCACAATCTCACATCCACTCGCGCTCAATTTGATTCAGGCCTAACGACGCCTCCCCTAGTGATGGGCGCGGGGACACAGATTCACCCCTTGCTAACAGGCAGAAAGGCTTGCTGAGGACTGCAGAAAGGTCTGGGCCCGGTTCTGTTCCCCTTCACTGCCGAGGCCCGGAGGAGAACTCCACCTGGCCTGTGGAATTCCCACGCGCCTTCAGAGAGGTTGTTCTCTGTAGAGGAGGAGGTGACATCAGCCATCCTCATTCCGCTGGGAAAATTACCTTGACTTGAGTGGGGCCAGGTTTTCACATGGGTGTGCTAAGAGCAGCCCAACTGTAGTGCTCTAGTGAGGGGCAATTCTTACTGAAGTGTATGCTTATTTTCTCTACGCAAAACCCCCTGGGTGTCCAGTATTTACCTCTGTGTATATGTAGATACTATGTGCGTCCATGCACCCATAAAATCACCCTGCATGTGTATTCAGCCTTCAAAGGGTCACACACAGTCATGGGTGTCTGTACAGAGATCTACTCATACATATTCATTATAGAAAAAAACCACTGGGCCTCATTTACTCTATGTGTAACTTTATTTACTTCTGAGTAGTTACAACATGGGGCTGATTTCTGTTTGCAACCTCGTGTTTTGTTTTTTTTATATTTGACCCGGTTCTCCATTATGGGCCAAAATTTCCAGAACCCTAGCCTCATAATTAGGACCAGATTTTTCCAAAAAGGCTCTGAAGCCAGAAGCTCTCTGGTGTTCCCCTTATGGTCTGTTTTTTTCCCTCCCCCACCCCCAAAGAGCTGCATGTCCAGCCTACCTCCACAGCCATATGTGTGTTCCTCTGCCCTTCCCCCACTTCTGGGTACGCCTGGGTTAGCTCTAGGGTCCCTTCATGGTGCGGTGGGGTCTGGCATGAGAGCTCTCTCCTGGGGAAGCTGAGATGGGTTTGGCCTGCTCTCTGCAACAAAACTCGGACTGGTGAGTCGCTCTCGGCCACGTGGGAGGGGGTTAAAAAAACCCGAGGGAAGGGACTCCCAGCCAGCAAACGCGGAAGCTTAGAACTGTAGATTCTCTGGGGCTCAAAGCGCAGCTCTGTCCTGCAAAGCGCTGGGCGAATTCGGAAGGTGCGCAGCTGTTTCATTTGCTGTGGGCCTCAAGGCAAGCCGAGGGGGGAGCCCGCACGTGGGTTTCCCCCGCTTTTTCTTGCAGGACCTCCAACTTGTTCCAGGTCCAGGAATAACACAACAAAGGGGGTGCTGGAGTAGAATAGGCCGGAGGCTTAGCTGTACTCCAGCTTTGTGACGGCGGGAGGCATATCCAAACCTCCCCCCTCCATTTCTCCATATAGAAATGTTATTTTAATATCTAGCGGGACCAATCCCCTCCCTTTACCAGGGAATCCCCCCCCCCCCTTGGAACCAACCCGGTGTCTTCCCAGAAGCTTTGGGTCTGACAACGCCCTTTTCTCTCAAGCGCCAAGATCCCAAAGTTTCCTCGAGTTAAGAAGTTTCTTCAGAAGGAGAAGCGGCACTTCTGAAGGTCGTGGCTGCAAAGGATAAGAGCTCTGGGTTTCAACTCCGATTTGCAGAGGAGGGAAGGGTTTCTCGCGCCCAAATAATCTGATTCAATTGGTTTCCACCTGCAACTCGCATCCCCAAAGTCCATTATTTGTTTGCGCTTTAAGAACAAGATTGATCCGGGCCCAGACTGGCTGGGTCATTTCATCTTCTCCAAGAGGGGACATTCTTGCCCGGTGAAATCTCTACTTTTAATGTAGGTTCCTCCAGAGCTAAATATTTCTGAAGTGCTTTGAGGAATGCAGTGTTTGCCTTCCCATCCCTATGACTCGTGGCTGTATTATTATTTTTCTTAATGTGTATGTGGTGGGCTAACATTTCATCACGAGAAGATGGAAAGTTTTGCCTGGAAGATTTGTGGACTTTTAGCCCAAGGATCACACCAGGCATGCGCAGAGTGGAGTCACGTGGCCCACTGCTCGCCAGTCAAAAGGGGGGAGGGGTTGCACACGCCCTAAAATAGATTAAAAACAAGACAAAAAAATTAAACATGTTTTGAGTAGCAGAAGCGAATGTGACATATCAGTCACCTTCCTTTTGCTTCCCTCCCCCCAACATTAGCATGAGCTTGCGGTGTTATCTAAAGTTGCACAGTTTTGAGAGTTGTTTTTAATTGGAACAGAAATACAGTCCAAGTTTTGCCACCGATCCAGGTTAAATCACAGTGCTCAGATGTACTCATCTTTGTGTGCGGTCAGGTTGGGATATTTACAATTCAGAAGCACTCTGCCTGCTTTGGAATTGAAATAGAGCTAAAACCTACTTCAATGAAATTACTGCACAATATTCACACGCAACATTTGAAACGACCTGTTTTGGGAAAGGGGGGGGGGGAAATGGCGTTGAAATAAAGCATTTCCTGGCATTTTACTACGTTCAAATCCTACATATCGTCCTGGGAACATTTATGTTACAGGTAAACAAACTAAATAAAATAACAAGAACCAAGGAGCCAGAAAACCATGAGTTAGCAGTTCCAAAACTGCAGCAACTGCGAGTCCATATAATTGGGTTCCATCCTATTATGACAGTTGGGATACTTTATTATCTATTGTCAGACGCAACCAACATCTGTGCTCGCCTTGCACAAGACTTGCTGTGCAGAGACCCTCATTCCATTTAAAAAAATATATAGTAGGGTTATAACTTTTTAATCCCCTTCGGAAGATTATATAGGAAAGGTTTGGAGCGGGCAGTTGCCAGAGATATGTGATAGCCCTAAAGCAAGGTTTTATCTGGTCCTTTACAGCCACCATATTTGATCTGCCTTCTAAAGAGGATGCCCAAGCAAAGAGAAAGTAGAGGTTTTATAATAGGGGCAGGTCTGAATATTCCCAAGCGAATTGGTGTGGACTGTCTAGATGGTGCTGGGTCCTGCCGTGAGGGCAGAGGACTGGAGTAGATGATCTCTTGAAGTCCCTTCCAGTTCTAGTGTTCTATGATTCTATGAAATTCCCAAGCAAGGCAAATTGAAGGAAAGAATATTTTCCAGTTGTCCTCAAAAGAAAGAAAGAAAGGAAGGAAGGGGAAATGAAACTAAGCGCATGTAATTCACTTTCCTTTTTTTTCTATGCTACATCCGTAATGAAAAATAACCATTCAAGGCGTCTAAAAGTACGTTGCCGGGTATTGTCCAGGGTATTAAAAGCGAATATTGGTACAGTACTGAGAAAGTCTAGAATGCTCTGAGATGTGTTATGGGCATTAAGATATTTAAGATTCTGCGAGTCTTACACAGGAAGAAAGTTTTGGTGCGACTTCAGATGTAGATTATATTCTTTCCAGAGGGTCTTTCACTGTTTAACTCTTCGTTCGGTTATAGGTTTTATGATTCATTAAACAAAACCTCTCCAGTGTAGCCGGTACATTATTCCCATTTCTTCAGCAGATTTGGCCGCTTTGATTGTTAAGGGCGAATGACATTGTTTGAAAACTGTGTTATGTGTCAGGATCAATGCAATAGCCACAGTCAACATTTGTATTTGCCATTTCCCTACCGTAGGAATTTTTTTTTTAAAGTTCATATTAAAAACTCTTTTTATAAGAAATCATGTTGCGTGCGAATGGCCCATAGGAGCGAGTCCTAAATGCCTTCGAATATAAGGTTAGCGAGGCGCTGGGGAAAAAAGGGAGGTAGAAGGAAGAAATTAAACTAGCTAGCTAAAATAAGGTGCACTCCAAGGGTGAGGTGGTCTCAGGATGCTGGCTTCGGTTATTCTCCCGGTGGTTTTTAAACATCGCCTTCCCCCTTTTCTTTTCTCTTTTACGAAGCGCGGTGCAGAAATCTGCCTATGCAGATAGTACGGAGGGATTGATTGTATCGCTTTAGCATCTGATCCTCAAAAGCGCGCTCCTGTCAAACGATGCTTTGATCGGAGGTTTCCCGGTCCAGCGCTGAATTCCGAGTTACCGATTTTTGGTAAACGTGCGATTTCCCTTTTTCCCTTATTGCCCTCGCACGAATGCCTATCCGTTCACGAGATGGCTAGCTTTCCCCAGTGTGTTCACCCCCCCCCCACACACACACACTTTCTCTTCATTGTTCCACTCACCAGACTGCTGCTTATATTATTTTTAAAACTCCATGTTTGTTTTCCTAGCCAAACCAAAACGTGATAGTAGCCGAAGCGCACGATATTTTGATATAAATGAAGAAATATCATGTTATTCTCCCCTCACTAGAGTCTTTGCTCTGCATCTTATTCATTTTTTCCTCTCCTTTAGTATAGATCCATAAAGACATATTACAGACACAGACACACAAAATCCTCTCTTGGCACTTAACAGATTTCTCTAATTCATGTCTCAACAACAAAATAATCACATGGGAAGGGAGAGGTGCTACTGTTGACCTTTCTATTTATTTCTGTCCGCGGCAGGATTAGAGTTTGCTTGAGTTTAGGTAACATGAACTGGAGTGTAATCTACAAGGAAGTGTAGTCAACTTGCAAAGTGCTCCAGTCTGCCCACGGCTGGCGTGTATGGATCGTCACGTTAGGGCATTAGCTTATTGTATCTTTCTTTAAAAAAATGAAACTTTCTTTTCTGTAGGTTTGGCCATGACAAAATGGAGAGAAACACCAGTAAGTACTTTTCTTTCTCTCTCTCTCTCTCTCTCTCTCTCTCTCTCACAAAACCAGTGTCCTTGTTTTTTAGACTCACAAGCCGTGGGTGCCTATATTTTGTTTCATCTTTCACAAAAGGGGTGGCTGACTAGACTTTTATTACAGGAGGTTTTTTTTCCCCCCCTGTCAGGAAAGGAGGGGGAAGAGGGGGGTTGTAAACGCAGGTAGGTGTCCGTTTTGATCTGTCGCTAATCACAGGAAGTGAGGGGTCTGTGTCTTTAAGGTTGTAAATTCCACAGATCTGTTTTTAGTTCCATTCCCAAAGGTACCTCGCGGGAAAAATGTGGCTTTTAAAATTTTTTTAAATAATCTCGTGCTAAGATCTGGAAATGGTCGATTACGCCCAGTGTCCATCTGCACTATTCTCGCTAAAAAAAAATAAACGAAACAAAAATGGTTGTCTCTCTTAGCTGGTGACCCAGCCTCATGTGAAGGCAGAGACAGTGGGAATATAGGTAGCCCCAAGTATCTCCCTAAAAACGGTCTTCAGGCCTCGCGATCCTTGTTAACTCCATTTGCCCTAAAAAAATTGAACTTATTTTGCTTAAACATCGCCCAAACAGAGGTCAAGTGAAGGTTTCCTGGGGCGGTGGGCAGCCTTCACTGTTGTTGTGATTGTTGTTGTTAATAATAATAGTCCGATTTATCCCGTAGAGCTTGTGTTAGGTTTCCTTTTCGAGTATTCCGCTAGGTTGATGGGTTTATGTAATTAAAGACAGGCTAGAGGTTGGTGGTTGTTTTCCCTCCCTTCCTCTCCCTTTCCTTCTGCTCCATATTGTGTACTTTTGTGGCTGTGATGTATGGTATCCAGCAGGAGAAAACCATACTTTACAAACATGACTAGGATTTGTGCTCTAACCAGGCTACGCAGTAATGAAAATAGAAACCCACACACACACTGGGCAGTTTTCTGTGGAACTCAGAGAGCGAAAAGGTTAGGTACATGATCAGTAGGCAGATAGAGTAAGATTTTGTGTGTGTTTTCTTTACTGCTACATCTGGTTAAATACACTTAAGCCAGAAACTAACCGATTATCAAAGCGATCCATTTTGGACCCCCTCGTGAAAATGAGCGTCTGTGTGTATAATCCGCGCTGACGGCTAACTTCTTTAGTACTGAGTATCTTTCAGAGTCTTTTCCGCTCTGTCTCTCTCTCCTCGGCATGGTGAAAAGTGCTATCTCCATAAAATAGCATTGTGTGTGTGTGTGTGTGTGTGTGTGTGTGTGTGAGAGAGAGAGCATTCAGCCAACGTGGCCAATGAATTATCTAATAGACATTCTCCAATTAAAAACAAAAAGACCCCCCCCATTAGTTTTGCTTTCCCGACCCTTTGGCTAGGAATAAAACATCTGAATGTCGGGGGCTAGGGAAATATTTACCCATAGACACAATGTGACACGTTACATCTGTCTCTGCTTTTTCTTGGGTACCTGTCTCTGTCGAAATTAATTCTGTAGAGAAAAAATATATAAAGCTTTAAAAAAATCCAGTCCAGGCTCAAAGTTGCTGGTCCATGTGTAAGGGAAGAAGTGAAGTATGAACAAACCGATATTTTATGTTAGGTTCCTGCCATGCGGCGCTGCCTGACTTCCTACCTAATTCTTCTTAACTTATTCCAAATGGCTGCTTAAACTAGGATTTTGCGGGTCTAGGGGGCCTGTTATGATGAGCTCTCTGCTGCCTCACCTTCCCCTTGCTCCTGGAGCTAGCCCCAGCTGCTAAACTCTGGGTGGAATCCCACCCATCTGTTGCCTGCCCATCCCATGGGGAGGGGGGTGTCTATCTCTGGTCCCCTGGCTGTTTACCTTGCCCTTTGGCCAGGTTTGGGGTGTGAAACCCCTTTAGCTTTTCCAGGATTCGAACCCATTATTCAACGCATCGGAGGCCCAATTGAGCTGAGCCAGTCTTCGCGCAATAAGGCAGCCGGGTCCTTATCAGGTTTGAATTGATGCTAGCGGCCTGGTTCTGTATATCATTCCTGAGATTTCTCTTGTCCAACTCCGCGGCTCCTTTGGCTTCTGTGGACTTGACTAATGACTGCTGCAAACGACAATGCCTGCAGAATTCTAATCGGCGGGATGAGTCGAGCCACACTTATTTACACTTCTTGAATTTATTTTTAAAACACGCCACAGCCGCCGAAGTTGAGTTAAGTCCTGCCTGCTGCTCTGAAGCGCCCACCCTCGGAATTACGGGAACTAATAAACGTTTTATTAAAAGGTTTTGATGGAGTCACCTTGGGGATTAACTAAGATAATAGTTTATGGCACAGTGCAAGATTAAACTGAAAGTACCCTAGTGGAAAAAAAATAAACATTACAGATAACAAGAAACTCATCTTCAACCATGATGGTCCATTGTTGCCATTCTCCATCGCCCAAGGAAAGTTATTTTGTAACATTCAGATATCTCATTTGGAAGCTGAAGGCAATTAAAAGGTTTCTTCAGAATTCCCTGTGTCGTCTTGACTCGTTAGTACACACCAGGGTTGTGAGTTTATGCCTTAGATATTTGGACAGAGAGGGGTGATCGACAGAAAATCGAGATGGGCAGAGCTATCCACAGATAGCATTGGAAAGCAGAAGAGTCAAGTCAACATAGCAGCCAACTTTTCCTCGTCAGTCCTCCTTAACTAACTCCCAGTGCCTCGTAGAACTGTGTTCATCACCCTACACCAACATTTCTACACACACAGTTGTGGGTCCGTCGCTGTGTGTGTGTGTGAAGTATGCATATAGGTGTGTTAGCTGTGTGTGTAAACATTCACAGGCAGAGATATGAATAGGTATAAAATACTTCATTTGAGATACGGGATAGGTAATATTTACATTTCACTTCATAATATATCTGATGCATTAGTATATAGATGCACAATACACTGTGTGTAAATGTGTAGTTATGTATAGTGCATGTGTGTGTCAGTCTTGTACCTTTTAAATATAAAAGCCCTATGCATGACACTGGCTAGGAGAATTGATATCTGTAAGGTTTTAATAACAGTTAGCTATTGATTCAGGCGCTCGCCAGTCTATAACCTAGAAGGAGGAAAATCTTGGTACATCTCATCTAATTAGACCCTACCTTAGAGCTAGCTCTGGGATGTGCAGTCTGGTCATTCGAACCCCAAGGGTTCTCTGTTGCTGCCCTTTGCTTTAAAAAAGTGTCCCGTGATGGCTTCGCATCCCCAGAGAGACCCACCACCGAGTTGATTTTAAATTGCGAAGGGTGTCAGGAGTGACTAGCAACCTGAGGCCTATTATTTCCCCATAAACTCCGATTCAGAAATCGGCGTTTTCCCTTTGCCGTTTACACGGCCACAGCGTGCTAGGGCGCCTGGAAATGTGACCCCCACTTCGCCCGAATTGTTGTCCCTTGCGCCAGCGAAGAAGGGAATCCAGCGGGCAGAGGAGGCGTTTTGGCAGGTTGATATGCTGGAGGGAGGCTCTTTCTGGACACGAAAGCACAGTAGGGTTTGTCAGAGTCCCCTGAAGTGAGAGGACAACGTAGCCAACTCTAATACTGACCCTTCAAATTGAGGTACCTCTCCTGGGCGGGTTGGGATGGTTTTCTAGTCCCCTGTACAATTAAAGTAACTAATATTCTCCTTCTCACCCGCTCTGCTGCCTTGGGGGCTACGCCCCAAACCTCTTTGCTCTAGGCATCTTCAAAGTCCTTGTCAGAAGTAGCGAGGTGCTGTCACTGGCAGAATCAAGCTGTAGAAACGTACCCTCTGTAATTATAAAAATGCTCGCTCTGGGGAAGGATTTCGAGGCTGAATGGGTTAAGCTAGTAAGTGCCACTCAACAAGAAGCTTTCTAGAATAATACAGGACAAGAGCTGTCTAAAGTGTGTATATATTTCCATCCCATTCCATAACATCCACCTAACTTCCCACTGAACAGCTCTCTCGGCACCTTCTCACCCCTCCCATACCCGTAGAAGACCAATGTTTTCTTTTCAACTTAACCTATGGTCCAGAAGCAAGAGATGAGTCATTACAGGTATTGTTTGTGTAGAAAAAGTCAAGGAGAAACCCTATCGCCTGTCTATAATTCACTTAAAAAGATCCTCCATCAAAGGTGGGGGGGGGGGTGTTTTTTTTGGTCTCCGTGCTGAAAAGGGTACAGAGACGGGTGTATTCAGAAACGATTGATTATAACTAAAATATATATTTTCAGTCTTTTAAATAGGGTTTAAGGGGCTCAAGGAGAGAAAAAAAAGAAGTGATCATTGTAGCTATGTGGATCATTCCAGGCAAGCAAATATTATATAAAAGTATAAAAAAAAAACCTTTATTGATCCAGGTTTATTAGTTAATTTCATTTAAAAAACAGTTATTCTTTAAGGACCATCTTTAACAGGTATGGTTTCCTAGTTCTTACACCTGCAAGACATATATTTTCTTTTCGACCTCCATGAAATCACACGAGAAGTTATAAAGAATGGACACAGAGGTTGTTTACCCATCCTGGGTACTTTGATCTATTAAAACATAATCCTATTTTTTTAAAAGCAAGAGCTTGTTTCCTACGGAGCAGCAAGTTATTTTTAGGCCTCTGTATAGCTCAGGTCCTGAAGGGTTCATGCACTGAGGTCCCGTATAAATAACAACAACACTAATAAAAAGGGATTTGTAATACAGATTCAAATCGCCTCTCAGCGAAAGGGGTTCTTAAAACTAGATTTTCAGGGGGGTTCTGGGGGAAGGTGAGAGAAAGAAAACCAACAATTTCTCCAGCATAAAAATGAAACATCAAATTAGTTTGCCTCTGGGCTTCATTTTTCCCCTTCTACATTATAACTAGTTATTGAACTAGCTAGAAGATCTAAAGGCCCTTTGTGAGGAGACAAATTTCAATGGAGTTCCCCCATCAATAACTCCTTGGCAGTGACCTATTGGATCAAGTCAAACAGTTGAGGTGAAATTCGGGTCACGCTGTCTAACCAATATTAAAA